GCTGCTTGGCCTGCTGTGTTCATCCAGCTCTACACTTTGTTATCTCAGTTTCTCCAGCATCTGCAGTTCCTACTATCTCTGTGCAGATTTGTCTTGTTTGCTGACGAGATTTCAGCAATGAATGTTCATTGACTGTGATGATCTGTGTAGATATAAGCTATCAGTAGTTCAGCCATTTTTTAAAAGAACATTACTTTTGCGCATGTCTACAGAACACAGCGTTGCATCAATGGCCCTTTTACTCCTGGGCTGGAAGTGAACTCAAAACTGTTTGTGGTGTCACATGATGGGAAACTGCTCTTCAGCGCAGGGCACTGGGATAATAGCATTCGAGTGACCTCCATTGCAAAGGGCAAGCTTACTGGACAGCACATCAGACACATGGGTAAGTGATATCAACACAGCTGGTAACAAGGGATAGGCTTTTCCAGCTATACTGATGATGAACCCACAGATTCCCACTGCTACCTTCATCACCGCTTTGTCACACCCAAATTCCTGCAAGAACCCTATTCCATTCTCCTGGATTTGCCACCACATTAATTCTGAAATGCCACCTCTCGTACCAGCGCTTCCTTTTCCCTCAGCAAGGAATCGTCCCCAACCACTGTTGCTGCCAGGACCCTCGAAAGTGTCCATTCCCTTTCCCCTACTTCTGCTTGCACCCCTTCACTTCTTCCCAGAACCATGATAGGGTTCCCTTTTCCCTCAAATTCCATCCAACCAGACTCTTTATTCAACAAAGGGGAGGCAATCACCTAATGGTATTATCGCTGGACTGTTGATCCAGAGACCCAGCTAATGTTCTGGGGTTCCAGGTTCAAATCCTGCCACGGCAGATGTTGGAATTTTGAATTCAATAAATATCTGGAATTAAGAATCTAATGATGACTGTGAATCCAGTGTCAATTGTCAGAAAAACCCATCTGGTTCACTAATGCCCTTTAGGGAAGGAAACTGCCATCCTTATCTGGTTTAGCCTACATGTGACTCCAGACCCACAGCAACGTGGTTGACTGTTAACTGCCCGATGGGCATTAAATGCTGCCTAGGCAGTGATGCTCTCATCCCGTGAATGAATAAAGAAGCAAAAAAAACAAATCATGCCCTGCCATTTAGGTGCTACGATGGTGTATGTTAGACATATTCCTACAAAAAGCTAACTTTGTGGTCAGAGATTCCATAAAGTAACATTCAGACCACAAGTAAGTGCCAAGCGATGATCATCTCTGATTAGAGAGAACTTAACTGTTGCCCCTTGACTTTCAGTAGCTTTACCATTGCTGAATCTCCCGCTATCAACGTCTTGCCATTGAACTTGAGCGATCATATAAATACTGTGACTGTTAGAGGCTAGGAATTCTATTGCAAACAACTCACATCCTGTTTCTCCAAAGCCTGTCCACCATCTACAAGGCACAAGTCAGAAGTATCATAGAATCCCTACAGTGTGGAAAGAGTCCCTTCGGCCCAACAAGTCCACACCGAACCTCTCAGCATCCCACCCAGACCCATCCCACTATAACCCACCTAATCTACACCTCCCTGAACACTATGGGCAACTTAGCGTGGCCAATCCACCTAACCTGCACATCTTTGGACTGTGGGAGGAAACCGGAGCACCCGGAGGAAACCCACACAGACACGGGGAGAATGTGCAAACTCCACACAGACGGTCGCCCGAGGCTGGAATCGAACCCGGGTCCCTGGTGCTGTGAGGCAGCAGTGCTAACCACTGTGCCACCGTGCCTGCTTGATGGCATACGCCCCATTTGCCTGAATAAATGCAATCCTCAAGTAGTTTGACTCCATTCAGGACAAAGCAGAACGTCACAGTCTGCAAGTTCTCTTTCCAAGTTCACACCCGCCTGACTTTGAACTATATCATCATTCCTTTACTGTCGTGGGTCAAAATCCTGAAACTCCCTTCCTAACAGCATTGTGCATGTTCCTACACCAAAAAGATTACACCAGTTCAACAAGGCAACTCAGAATCACCTTCTTTAGCAAATTTAGAGGTGGTTACTAAATGCTGGCCTAGTCAGCGATACCCACTTCCCCTGAGTAAATAATAATGGGAAGTGGCATCGTGTGATGTGAGAGAATCTGAGAAATTATCATGAAACTGAAATAATGTAAGCAAGCTTAAAAACGTAAACCTTTTAATGTAGAGTTAGTGCATTATTGCTAGCAGTCTTCAAGAATTCTCAAAACAATTACAAGCCAACTGCACCTATAATATAATTTCCACTCCTTCTAGCACAATGTCACCATCAAACACATCTTCCCATTCCATTAAAACATGAGCATTAATGTCCAGTCAATCAAAGAGATTCTGGTGGGATAGGATTTATGGCAGGACTCACAGCAAATCTATCTTCCAGCAAACAAAATATATTTTAAAAATATCTTTACAAGCTATTGTAAACATAATCAATGAGAGGAAGTCTCCCACTAAAAGCCAAATTATATCCCTACTATATTACTAACTGATTATTTCTGCAGTAAATTGCAGAAATAGTTATACAAATTACATCCGTAAAGTCAGTCTAATCCACTTGCAGCAGAACAGGAATGATTCATGGCTACCTATACAATTGTCTCCATTCTGCCTGAGACTTGTACTGTTATAGCATACAGCTACCCTATTGTTTTACTGTATCATCCAGTTCACCATGAGCATTATCAGAGGTAATCTCCCAGTAAGGGATATATGTAGCAAAGCATGGACTGTGGTGGACAAAATAAATGATCAAAATAAATAAATAAATGATTAAACAAAATAAATGATCTTCCTGTAGTTCCAGAAGGCTTTAGACCCATTCATTCTTTACAGTTTGGGTGTCATCACATTTTCTGCTCTCATTTTAGACATTGTGACTTGCCTGGCAACTGATTACTGTGGAATCCATTTGATATCAGGGTCACGTGACACAACATGCATGATTTGGCAAATCTTGCAGCAGGTCTGTATTTATAGCTTTGTTTCCATTACATTTTGTAAACTGCAGCATTTTATAGCCTCATGGTATTTAGATAGTCTAAAAGTTAAACTACGTGAATCTGCTTACAATTGATCCAAATCAGCCCATACATTGAGAAGTATCACTGAGCTGCACACAAACCTTTCACCTCAGGTTTGTTGTAACAGTGTTATAGTTCTCGATGTTCAGGTTGACACAAGAATTCATATTGATCTGCAATAGTCCCATAGAACATTTATTTGAGGAACATCCTCGGTTTAAAGTTTTTGAGAAGATTTGTACCTCGGGTTGTGGATGAGGTTGTAGATTTGCTCGCCGAGCCAGTGTGCTTGAGTGCAGACGTTTCGTCACCCTGCTAGGTAACATCATCAGTGCGCCTTCAGTGAAGCGTTAGTGTTCTGTCCCACTTGTTATTTATATGCCTCGGTTTGCTGGGGTGGTTGGCATTACTTCCGGTTCTGTTTTTCAGTGGTTTGTATATTGGGTCCAGTTGGATCTTAGCAGAACTTCATCAGCAAACACATTGAACTGGACCCAATATACAAACCACTGAAAAACAGAACCTGAAGTAATACCAACCACTCCAGCAAATCAAAACATATAAATAACAAGGCTAGAACATCCTTGGTTCTATGTTTTAATAGATGGATGTCTAGTCTCAGTCACAAACAGATTAGCGGTGCTACATATTGCAAAGAGTGAGACATAACTATGAGACTGTGTTAATCATAGAATCAGCTCTGCTGTTCCTCAGCCAGCTGGGTAATATTTTGCTAATAATGCAATTCAGCAATATATATTTATGCTGAACTGGCGAATTCAACCAAGGCAATAGCAAGACCACAGATATTTGACTTTAATTCTCTTAGACTAGGATTTTGCCCTGAGTTGAAAGGCAAAGATTCGAGTCCTGTCCTGGAAACTTGAAGACAAATTATAGACTGATGCCCTAATGACAGCATTTATAATAAGGCCTAAATACAGATTATCTGGCCATTAGCACATTGTTGGTTGTGGGGCCTTATTGGCTGCCAAGTTTTCTAGATGACAATAGTCACTTTATGCTTCAAAAACGCTTCATTGTCTGACTGTGGGGCAACTTGAAGCCTCCTGAAGCACTGTATTAATTCAAGGCTTTCTGTTGTATTTGGCAGCAGGTTTATTCTTGTCTGTTTGCAAGCTGATATTCTTCACTGATGTGTCCTCAACTTACTTTTTGATTCAGGGAGGGATGGCTGTTGGTCTAGCCCAGAAGCCCATGCAGATACTATATGGGCATACTGAGGAGATAACGAGCCTGGCTATCAGTACAGAGCTGGACATGGCTGTTTCGGGCTCCAAGGTAAGATTCAGGAGTCCAGATAGTAATTGCTAATTGGTGAGATGGCCCCCAGTGCAGTCCAAAGGATTGATTCCACGTATTAATTCCTGGCTCCAAGTACTCACCCTGTTACACTTAGCGCTTATTAAAAAAAAAAAAATTCTTTCTGTTAAAATTCAAGTGATCAGGTTTCATCTAATTCATTTTATTGTCTTTCATCCACTTCAGATTCTTCCAAAAGTAAACAGTAAATGTATCAAAAAGGATTGACTGGGTCTTTTTTATTTCTTGAAAATGGAGCGCTGAGGGCAACCCAGTAACAGGTTGTTAAAATAACTTAAAGCTTTGATAGAATGGAAAGAGAAAAATGTTTACTCGTGTGGGGAAAATATCTAGAGGCCCTCAATCGATATCGCCAAGAAATCCAATCAGGAATTCTGAAGATTCTGGATAGCATATCTTAGGAGGGTAGTTGGTGGTTGTGTGTTGCCTTTTTATAGTTTACATCAGAGCCAGGTGAAGATTGTTATCTTGGTTTACAAGTTGATGTTGACCAGTTGATGAAGTCTAAATGACCAGACGGCTGTCCGATTCCCTTTGTGCGTCTCCTCTAGGATGGAACCGTGATCATTCATACCATTCGACGTGGGCAGTATATGAGGACACTTCAACCGCCCTGTGTGAGCTCACTCCCTCTCTCCATTCCCAATCTTTCCGTATCATTGGAGGGACACATCATTGTCAACGCTGTCATAGAGGGAAAATCAAATTTTAAGGTACAACATCAGTGACCATCTGTGTGGATTTACCGCCTTAAGTGAAATGTGAATGCGTAGCTGTAGCTTATGAAAATGTTATGAACTAACAACATGAACTGCTTGATGCACTTATAGAATTATGAATCCAATATTTTGCACCTTGTATGTCTGCTATAAGCATCCCAGCTGCAGTGACAGAGACCACAACAGGGTGGAGACTCCCTGCACCAACAGGCCCAGAAAGAAGGGGAGAAAGAATGAAATGGTATAACATGGATTTGAATAAATTGTGTGCCAGAGCAAAGGGGTAGCCTACCCTTTGGTTGCATACCTTGAGGCTCTTAAATTTCCAATCGATAACTCTGGTACAAAAAAAAATTCTAAAAGACGTCACAGACTTGGACTAATGAATCATTTAGTGTAATTAAATACAATTAAAGTTAATTTGAAGTACTGTGAACAATTTTAATCCCCTTATTTAAAAAAGATAGTATTTCATTAGAGGCAATTCAGAGAAGGTTTGCTAAGATGATCCCTTGTATGGAGGGATTGTCATATGAGCTAATGTTAAACAGGTTGGAAACCTACTCACTGGAATTTAGAAGAAAGTGAGGTGATCCCATTGAAACATTTAGGATTCGTAAGGGGCTTGACAGGATAAATGCCAGGAGACTCCTAATCCTGTTTCTAATGGTCTTAACTCTTTTCCACACTCTTCTCTTACTCCCAATCCTCCAAAATATTTTACAAACTAACTGTTCTATTGGAATTTGACATTTCCGTAGATGTTAAGTCCCTGGGGCTTTGCAGGCACAATAGCTTGAATCCTTGGTTGGAGTTTAGAACCCTCCCATGGGACATTTTTACAAAGTGTGTGAAAGAGCTTGCAGGAATAGCCTTGTCTACGCACAGATCCTGACTTCTCCTTCCCACCTTCAAACTCCTAAAATTTTGGACAGGAAAAGATTCCCAAACTGGCTGGATTATGGGAATACTAAAATCTAGTTAACTGTTTGTTGGAGAGCATTGAGCTGAGTCTCTCTCAGAACTACCATCCTCTTACCTTTTTGATTTTTGCAGGATAAGAATGCTCTACATCTGTATTCTGTGAATGGCAAACACTTGGCAAGTGAGACTCTAAAAGAACAAGTAACTGACCTGCTTGTCAGTGGCGAACGTATCATCCTCGGCAGCATGGAGGGATTTCTGTCTATACGGGATTTGTACAGGTGAGGTGATTATCAGTAAACACCAAGAGCCAGAAAATAAAATCAATCCCAGGCTTGACTTGGCCATATTGTTGCTGGAGAACTTGTATTACTAACAAAACCTAATTCTAAAAGTAGCCCTCTAATCTATGTGAGAGAGCAGCTTGTTTATGAATATTTTTTAATCTGCCACATGCAAAGCATGGCCACAATGGTTGACAGGAATTTCAGGCATTAAGGCTAGATCTCTTCTTGAACCAGGCAATAAAATTATTTTCATCAATGAATAACTTGATATTTTTTAAACACTTATTGCTCAGTTTACAAGTAAGTCAGGGTTTCTTGTGCACATGCTCAATTGTTTTATTCCTTGTTCATTTTACCTGACTAGTTTGCCTTTAGACATCCCTTTTACAACTGAGTTAAACGAACCATGTTATTTCTGTTCCATATACCCTCCAATCCCTGTTTCATTGAGAACAAGCTTAAATATCTTTGTTATTCTTAATACAGTTTGTTTATTTGTGAAGCATCTTCAGGCATAGTTTACTTTATATTAATGCAAGTTGTACAGTTAAAAGATGGTGCTTTGTTAACTTAATTGCAATCTAGTTTTAAGGTTGATGTAACACTGTGACCTACATTGTCCTCCTCCACCTAGTGTTTTGCAGGCTGCGCATCAGCACCTCCCAAACTATAACCTGGACCAGCTTGAGTGACGATGGCAGTGACACACTGTTACACTTAACTGGGGTAGTGTGCTGGAAATCAAACTTTGCAATTCCCAGAGTTGTCTCAAAGTTAAAAATGTTAATAAGTGTACAGAATTTTCCAATTAGCAGTCTTTCAGACCCAAGTTGAATAGTGTGTGGATCAGGTTTGTGTCCAGAAAAGGATTACTATTTGTTACAAATAAATAAATTCTAGCTGTAAGTAAACAATTATGAACCATCAGCGTAGAACTCTACAAGTTAAAACTCCACCTCCCCCTCCCCCACGCCCACCGCCCAAAACATGTGGGTTATGGGTGATTGAAAGACTGGAAAGGCAGTTCACCAGTCCCTAACCATGTTACTCAAATGACAACAGTAATGAAAAACAAGACAGAGATATACGTCAAAAACATTTTAGAGGTTTTTACAAAAATGTTAACTGATAATTTCTCATAGTACAATGTCAATAACAGTTTATAAAAACGTAATAAGTAACTTAATTACCATTAAAGTGTGCTTGATCGATCAAGTTCAGGAGTCACACGAGTCCTTAATTTGCCCCACACAGCTTGAAGCTGTAGCCTGCAAAAGTCTCCTTTAACCAACACACTTTCTGAAAAAAAACCATTTCCTGGTCGCAATTACAGTTTATTGTAAGCCCTCACTGCAGAGTTTGAAATTACTTAATTGACTGGAAAGTACTCAGCACATCTAGAAGTCATGAAGGTGCTATATTGGTGCCCGTTTTTTTCGATATCTCTTTTTAATAGCAGTAACTGAACTTGAAGAGCTAACATTTCTGAAACATTTCATTTCAGTCTGAAGCTTAGTGCAACTCCGCTAGCAATGAGATTGCCAATTCACTGTGTGTCCATCACCAAGGAGAACAGCCACATCCTAGTGGGACTGGAGGACGGCAAACTAATCATTGTCGGCGTGGGCAAGCCAGCTGAGGTAAAGTCCACAGTTCTGAACTACATCTACAAGACGGTGGAGAGCTCCCACCTGCCTTTTCTATCGCAGCTGAACCTAAAGTCACCCAGCCAGCACTTGGAACAATGCAACAGGTTTCAGTTCCCAGAGTCGAGCAAGGAGTCAGAAAAGTAACAGTAGGAATAGACGGGGTGACCAAGGGCAGGAGTGGTTCCATATTCTGGCTGCCCTTTTGAATGATGCTGCACCCTTTCAGGAAGGAAAAGAAAGGAATAATGTTGAAGGAACAGGAGGATGTAAAGTATCGACAGGGACTGACGAGAAGAACCAGGAAGAGGAAGGGAAGGTGTCATTCCTGTAAAGAGTTGGATAATCCAGAATTTAGTAATATTTATTGCTATGATTACCAAAATTAATAAATCCAATTATCTGACGATTGTCATTTCAGAAGTGGCAACCGTTCTTATTGTGTCTCTTCAGGACCCATGAAGAAATGTGCATGTCCTAACTCTGAAAGGAGGCAGTTAAATGTTAATCCCTGCAAAACATATGTGTTTAAAAAGCTGCTTTAAAAACAGAAGCAAAATTTTTTTGGATTTCAGGATGTTCACTTTTTCCATTATCATCATCCAACTGAGTCCTTCGCTGGTTCGTTCTCGTCACTTCCCTTGCGTGATGGCAATAAACCTTTTCATTTTTTTAAAAAGATAGAACATTGGTTTACCTTGTGTGGAGGTTACTCACCTTGAACAAGGAATGCTGGAGACACTTATTTTGAGGTCTCAGTTTACTGGCTCCTTCATACTGGTGACCTTTTTCCCTCTATTTCTGCTTTTTCTCTTCCTTCCACAAATAGATGCGATCAGGGCAACTTTCCAGGAAGCTCTGGGGTTCCAGCAAGCGTCTGAACCAGATCTCGTCTGGAGAAACTGAATACAATCCCCAAAGCGAGCTGAAGTGATGAGGTCAAATCACCGGAAGGAACAAAAATCCTGTGGCTTCCTGTCTGCTGTTACTGATCATTTCTGTTTTCCCTGATCTCCATCTGATTCTCAGCCAAATGAGACTATGCAACAAATCAGCGTGTCCATTTCTGATCATGTAGCACAGATTTCATTTTGATGAACCTTCCTCTGTCTCCTGTTACAGATAGTAATGGAGCTCACCCACTTCTACTCTTTAAAAAAGAAAATCCTGATGCTTCTGTGCAAGGAAGACAGTCTGTTTACTTTTTTTAAAAGGCATTTTTTCTTAAAGGATCTTAGCGCTGGCAGATGTCTTTTAAAAAAAAAAAAAAACTTCCTCCCTTTGGCATTTTAAAACACTTAATAGGATCACTTAAGAATGAAGTTGGTTTGCAATGCAAGTGCCAAGGCCACAAAATCTCACTGTCATAGTAGCCAGTGCTGAAATGGAGAGCTAATCTCATCAGGATCTCTCTGGAACAGAATCGATGTGATGCTCCAGCTATTTACGTACCTGTGAGGAAAAATCTTGCAGCTGGAGACAGTCTCCTAATCTTGCTGCCTGGTGTCCTTTTTTTTTGAAAGCTCAAAAGATCATGGTTACTGTCATCTTATTGCTCAGTACATTGACTGTCAACCAAGACAGCGGACGTAGTATTCCTTTCCAAAAATACTTCCAATGTGATTGATAAACTGGCATTGTTGGAATGATTTTGTCTTTGTAACATACCCCTACCCATCTTTCTTAGCCTCACAAAGCTTTCTTTAAATCATTATTCGATCGGTTTCACGATAATCAAGCACAATACTTCATGATGATATGAATTGCTCACTTGTGTCCATCAGTACTATTGCACAAACTTAAATGTGTTAGCCTCTATTTCCCAGACGTACTGTTCTTCTGTGTGCACTTTATATTGTAAACATAATTTATGGAATCAGAATTATTTTTATTTAACGTTTTCTTCCAAATTGTTACTTTGCCTGAAGTGTAAACCACTTTGTAGCTGCTAGCAGAAAGGACCCATGCAGGATTTAATTATGTCTAATCCCTCACCAACCCCTGCAACCTGGCTTACCTCTTGTTAAGGAGCAGGGGATAGAATACTGAATTATGGAGGTGTTGGCTTGCTCCTGCTCCGTTAACTACAGTGGTGATGGGAGAAGGAAGTGAAAGAGAGAGAGAGAGGGAGGAGCAGTGTTGGAATTGGAAGTACAGATGTCCCATCTCAGAACTTCATCATGAGCTGCACATTCACAGGCATATGGCACTACATTGGCACAAAATGCCATATGGTGTAGAGGATGGCATAGTGGCATTAGGCATAATGTGTGACCACCGTTGTCTTGTGCCATTAGCTTTGAGGATGTTTTCTGCTGGTCACAATATCATGAGTACGAGAGATTGGACAGGTAGAATTGTGTAAGGCACCTCTACCATTTACAGCCGGGAGAGGTTGTGTTGGAGGGAGAGCAAAACTGAATAATGATTTTTTTTTTTTAAATGTCACATCAATCAAGGTATACCATAGTCGCTTCCTGACATGTATTGGCCAACAAATTACAAAGAATATATTGGTTTTGTTTGGTGGTGGGAACAATCTGACCTTATTTTCTTCTGAGCATTGGCAAATTCAGAAGGTGAACAAGATGTTTAAAATGGAACAGAGTTAAGAAGAACTTAAGTAAAACCATACGGTCACAGTTATTAAAAAGTAAAAGCATCGTGCATTAGGCAAATCTGATTTCTGTTATTTAGAGTAACCTTTCGGAGGATTCAGGTTTGTCATTTTACAGGGAACACAATTATCACTTTCTATTCTGAATCAAATGCAGCTTCAGCTAAAGAGCGCTGGTAAGTGAAGCTAAATTCTTGATGCAAAATTCATTGCACACAAGTGTTTGCATACGATTATGTTTGTAGAGCTGACATTTTATTAAAGGAATGAATAGAAAGATGCTTCCGATCAGATGCGTGACTCGTAGTTTTGATTCATTAAACACCAGAAGGAAACTTATCCAAGATATAGAACCACCTTTCACTTTCAGTTTGCCTTTGCATTTACTTAATTATAGCGTATAAAAATGAGAAACTTTGATCATGTAGCAGCATTTTCATGAAAAACATTGCAAACTCTCACTTCATAGTGACTCAGGAGCTAACCCTGTTGGTTAGGCTGAGATGCCAAGTGGCATTAATAAACAAATATGAATACATTTCGTTTATCTGACCAGCTATATTTTATCTTGTTTTAAGTGACCAGGAAAAGCATTTTCCTATTTTATGAATGTGAAAATGGGCTTTAAGGAGATTCCTAATCTGAATACCTGCCATGTACTGTTGGGTTGGGTTGTCGTAATTGGCCTCAGATATTGTCAGGAGTTACACCGTGTTCTGAGGGGTAGGTTATTGTGGCGTTGTCACGAGATGCAGATATGAGAAAGAGAGGTTGCTGTTGAGCAAGATAGATTTATCTAGGGATAAGTGCACACCTCATTCACCACATGCTGCACTGAAAAGTCTCTTACTGCAGCTGAAATAGTGACATTAATGTTAACCTCACGAGGTTAGAAGCTACAACGTGATTGGAGTACTTAGTTGTCAGTGAGTTCAAGTTTGCATACTTGATGTAGCTAAGGAACTGGGTCAAACCAAGCTTTGCAGCTGTTAGGATATCAAGTAGTCATGCTAATTTTATTGTATGGCAACAGCACAGAGAAGTAAAAGACTCTATGTTGAACTCAGTTCACTCTACCGTATTTTCTGAATGCAGATTAAATTGGCAACTTGGATCTAATATTTAACTGTGTTTGCATAAAGATTGGTGCAAAGCTAACCTGAGCCTCCATGTGGCACCAGTAATTTACTATTCAAAATAGGATTCCCGTAAATTGTAACGTGCAAGCATTATTTGATCATAGTATATCATTGTATTTTAAGAATTAAAGTAACACAAATAAGTTGAGCAAAATATTCAAACTTCTATAGATTTTCCAATAACTGCTTTGACATTTCACTTCACAAATGGTTTTTCATGTATATTTCATTTTGGGAAATGTTTTATGCCAATGGAGTGTTTCAATGCTTCAAAAGAGTCTCTTGATTTTTAATCTGATTTGTGAAAGTGTACTGTGTATAATATTGTTATTATTCTGTGCTTTTTGAAGAAAAAAATCTCCATCTACCATATGTTTCCAGCCACATTTTGTGCAGTGCCCAGGAGGTGAAAGCTTCTACCTTGTATTTCAGATTGACTTGTAAGTTAACAACACACTTCTGTGCTTGTATATTTAATTTTTTTATATATGTATAATGTGTTTGTTGAAGGTGTCCTTTTTTGCACTTTTCAGGTACTGCAGATTGTAAAATTTAAAGCTCTGATGTACACATTATCTGTACATAACAAATTTATCAAATTAGCTTTGTATACAGAACCAATAGGACTAAAGGCAATAAAGGTGGGATTATAAGGGGTGGGGTGTTTGTGTTTTGTGCAGATGTTAACCGTAAGGACTGTTGCAGAATTTTTGCACCAAAATAATGAAGAATTTTAAAAATAAAGTGTCTTCATTTCAAAAATTAAATTTTCAGTGATGTGCCCACTGACTTTTCTTACAAGCAGACGAGATTGGAGTGACATTGGAGTTGAAAGATAAACTAGCCTCTCCACATAGTTTGACTAGCAACACAAATGCATTGGTGTTGAAATAACAATTTAAAAATAAAAATTTAGGCTGTTTAGGTTTCTCGTTTATTATCAGATCAAAGTCCAGAACTTCCTCGGCTGCATTGTGCTGAATGGATTGAACTCTTCTATTCCTAACTGCGTTATCAATCCTGAGCTTGCAAACAATAAATCATCAAAGTGATGGAACTGTCTGTACATAATATTCTGGTCATATCATTTCAGCTGATGTCTTAGATGAATGATTTAAGCCCAGGCTACATTGTTCATTAAATATTTGCTTTGAATGTAGCTTAATAATTTTTTCTATTCTTTTTCCATGATACTAGCAAGTTTGGTTCCATTTTGCCATCTGGGATCTGGTCCTCTTGTCCAATGTGCTAATTCTCTCTTCTCTCAGCTCTTTACCACTTGTAATCTTTGTAAAGCCTCCCTCCAATCAGTGGAAAACTTGCAGACCTAACTATTGTCAATGAGTTGCCTTAATTTGTGGTTTGGATAAACCTAGAATCTTCACATTAAGTTGCAAAATTGCTTTGTTTTGAAGCCACTACATAAGCTTTTGAAGTCTGGCATCCCTTTTTGTATATGACTGTCTCTCTGCTCCTTCATGTTTGTGAAGATTTTGAAAGTTATTGGGATATTGGTAAACCATTTAATTCTGTCGCCGCAATTCTTGCAAAGAACATGGTGAAGTTTCTTCAATCAAGTAAGACATGCATCTCCGTTCAAACAACCCTATATCTCATCTGTACAAAGATACTTCATACTTACACAACACAAGAATGTTAGCTTTTGTCACTTTTATATAACTGTTAACATTGTCATGTTATTGTCATGCCCTTTCTGAACGTATATTACAACACTGTATTGGAACATTAACATGCTACACGTGCTGAGAATAGCATCCACACATCATCTCCTTTGCTGTCTGTTTTATGAATCCATCTGCAAGAATTAAAAATTTAAAAATAAGAGGTGATCTGTTCTCCACCTTTAAAGTACTGTAAAGCCAACAAGATGGGACAGTTCTGGATTGAGTTTAAAGAATAAAGTCGGGTAGATGCAAGGGTTGTCAGTGGGATAGCATTCCAGTGGTAGTGACCAGCTTTTAGACTTAAAGTAGCCATGGAAAGGATCAAGATGACTGGATTAAAAAAAAGTTGTCAATTTACAAATGCCAATTTCACTCAGCTGCATTGAGCAACAGTGAACCGAAGCCAACTACTTCAATATAAATCAGTGTCTGAACAGACTCATTGAGGCCAAAACAATTATGTTCACACAAATTTACAACCCCTTGGATATTGAGGAACACAAAAGATGATATAAGGCAAAATTAAAAGTGAAGTTGCTGTCAGATGTTGAGCACTCAATGTACTTTAGAATGGAGAAAGTACAGGGGCAGAATTCAAAAAGAAATTAAGGAAAGCAAAGAGATTACGTGAAGAAATGCTAGTAAATGAAATCCAGGAAAATCCAAAGATATGTAATGGAAGAGATTTAGCAACTAAACGTAGGAAATCTAGAAGCAGAAGACAGAAGCTGATTCCTGATGAATACTTTGTGTCAGTTTACAAATGAGCTGGTTGATATTAGCTAAGGATTGTGAAATAGGATCTATTTTGCTTCTTTTTGTTTACCTGATGAAAAGCTATTAAATATTGGTGTTAAAAGAGATTCGTGTGCCCTTGTTCATAAACCACAAAGTAAGTGTGTTAGTACAGCCAGCAATGACGAAGGCAAGTGATGTATTGGTCTTTTTGGAGGCCAACAGTAAAGGAAACCTTGGTGTGACAATACAAGGATTTGGTGAGAAAATGGCCACTGTGAGCCAATATAAAATGGCAAAAAATGTGGACTGTTGTGATTCAGATCTTCCAAAAGAGAAGAAACAGCCATGGACAGACAAGCAAAGCGTGAACAAGGGATAGGGTGATGTGGAGATGTCGATGTTGGACTGGGTTGGACAAAGCCAGAAGTCACCAGATTGTAGTCCAGCAAGTTTATCTGAAGTCACAAGCTTTTGGAGCGCTGCTCCTTCGTCAGGTGAAGTTGATAGGGTGACAGAAAGAAATTTGGGTTTCCAAAGTATATCAAATTTTCAAGTTAAAAAGCAGCCACTTGCACAGCATCAATTGCAATCCACAGAAAACAGCAGCAAGCTAACACCCCATAAATTCATGACAATTTTGATTAAATAATCCTTATTCCTTTTAAATTACAGTGATCCAACCCAAATTTGTGCAATCTCACCTTGTAATTTAACTCCTTGGAGTTTCTTCAGGGCAAGTGAAGTGGACTGCTTTCTGTTTACTGCTAAGCAAACCCTGAGTGAGATCTGAAAACATGACTTGCATCAAGACTTATTTCCATTCTCTTGAGTATGATGTCGCATGTATTTCATAATGAAACGTTGGGTAGATGGTGGTCCGAACACAGACCAGCTGGACAATACATCGGATAGGGTGGATGATCAGGAATGTTTATCTTGAGCATGGCCAAGAATTGGCAGTATTTGGAAGACTGTTACTAACCCTGCCCCATTTTTGAGATTTGAGCAATTTACTTACCATGTTCTCTCTAACACAATTCAATGACCTCTTTGGCTCGGACAAGACCTCTATTGTGAATGGACATAAATTGAGAGTCTCTCGTGGTTAGTACCCTGCTGTAATTTTAACTTCTGTGAGGGTGACTCATGTTTTATTTGGAAATGCTGGCTTGTGGTACAGGGGTAGTGTCCCCACCCCAGACCAGGAGGCCCAGGTTCAAGTCCCACTTGCTGTAGAGGTGTGGAATAACATCTCTGAACAGCTTGATTAGCAGAAATAGGTATAAATCAGAAAGTGTGTTTTGAATTGTTAATGTCTGTTGCAACCTGAAGGAAAAATGTAGCTCTGGTCACTTAATTGTGACACCAGAGCACATTGCTGCTGGAGGCTTAGTTTTGATACTTTAGTGGGGCATGCTGGCACAATGTGTCAATGAAATAATGTAACTGCCTAGCAACAGGGTTTGGATTGGTTTTAACCAACAGTTTGCCACTCATCTGAGAGAAAGTAAATCCGGGCACAGGTCCACAGCAAGTGATAATGCACTGTCTCTTTTTACTTGGAAAAGAATTAACGCTCAAACACTCTGCAAAAAGAAAGTAAACTGCAGCCAAGACCCAAGTCTCAACAACCAGCTACCAAATTGAGATTCACTGCAATCAACATCAGCTTGATATCATCACCAAAAACCAAAACAAACTGTGAGTAAAGTCATCTCATTCCACCCTTTGATCCACAGACTCTGTGCTTTTGTTTTGCCTGTATTTTCCACCCATTGATATTCTTAAATAGATAATTTGTCTCATCTGTCTGTCCTACATTTGTATCAATGTGTATGTTTGGATTTAAAGAACATAATTTTAAGTTTGTATTCTGAATTAATCTGTTTATGTTGCATATTTAAGGATATGTTTCTTATAAAAACAAATTCTTGCTTATTCATGAAACTTGCTCTGATGGGGTCATAGTTAGGCATTGAAAATCCTCGAGCTGAAATTGGTCATATTTCACAGCTTGTGATGATGTGTGGACTAATGGGGCTTGATTTCTCGTGCATTGTTTCTCCCAGGGTCATGCTGAATGATGTGGAGCTTATTTCAGGCCAAGAACAAAGAGCTGTCTTCTTCCAGGGCCTAATGATAGAGGTTGAGGAACTGTCGACCTAGGTTGCCCCCCACACCTCACTCCCTGCCAAAACCCTCTTCCTCAGCACCCCCTCTAGAACTCCCTGCAATTTGATTAAGTTAATGATTTGTCTGATGGCCTCCAGACAGCCTTGATCTCTCAGGTGATGACCCTCCTTTAATATGTCCATTCAGGCCAGACATTTGTCATCTATTGTTCAGATGAATAGGGTTCCCACTGCCCTACACATCCATCCCTTCCCCAGTTACCTGCACCACCTCACTCCACCTCATCCCATGCTCCCCTGCACCATCTCCTCTGACCCGATTGTTTCTTTCCTCCTCATCCTACCCCGACCCACACCTGGACCTCCACCTTCCTGTGTAGCTCACATGTCTCCCCATTCTCCCCTCACCCACCCATTTCCAATCTTCCTCCATCATCTCCCCTCACCAGCATCTTCACCACACCGTCCTCAACGCCGCCCCCCCCAACTCTGCCCCAGAGCCCCTGCTTCCCTTACCCCACCAGTTTACTGTTGACAAGTTAAAGCGATCCCTGTTAACTTTGATTGGAAGGATTGTGAGCAGTGGATAATTCTAGGCCTTCGCCGCCTCCATCCTGCCAAAATAGAACACTGCTGTGTGATAATGTTTTCTTAGTTATTAGGGAGGAAGGAGTATCGATCCATAATGTATTCAGGACCTCTTGATCTTTGGATAGCCTGATCGCCCATTTCCCTTTCATTGACCACATTCTGATATTTGGAGCTCTAGATTATAGAATCTACTGCAAATTCTGTGAATTAAGTGCATACAAAAGGAAGGGAAGTTGTGTGAATAACTACTCCCTCACATCACCCCTGAAATGGTCCAGCTCTAATTTGATGGTTCTGCCCCCCACCCACAGTCCTTCTCGGGACATTACCCCAACCCCCAAGATCAAGAGGAAATGCATTCACATGATACCTGGTTAATTGTGTGATCATCCAATTGTTACTTTTTGCATACTCTGACAGTTGCTGGGTTGATCATCTGTATTTGGCAACAATGCCATTTTTCCATTTGGAGTCTGGGAGGTGCTATTTGTTTCTAATAGTGCCTTGCTTTGGTGGTTGCTGTTGGCATTAGAAAAGATTGATGGCAAATGGTTAACAGAAATGGCATTCTCTCTTTCTCTCTGTCGCAGTTTCAAAGAACACTTCAGTCTCTGCAGGAGATATCACAGATACAGACACACTCAATTATCCATTGTTCTCAGACAGGATGTTATCCATGTTACATCATTCACCAGGTACAGATCTTCCTGCTGACATTATTGGGCTGATAAAATGGAACCTTGTGTCCACTAATTGAACAAGTTGTTCTTCCAAGACATCACTCGAGCAAGAGGGGGATGCAAAAGGAACCATCTGCTTTTGTCCTTTGTCATTTGATACCTGTTGACTCCCTTAGAGTCATTGAATCATACTGTACAGAAGAGGCTATTCAGTCCATCTAATCTATACTGCCAAAATATACTGCTGCCTATACTACAGGGCTTTACAAATGTCTGATTTGCGAACGCTTGTACTTATGAACACAATCCCATACAGGGATGTAAATTTAAAGATCCAACACACGAACATTTCCTGTACTCGAATGGCTGCTTTCCATTACCCTGAGTTGTGTTCCAACTTGTGTAAAAAATCGACATGCAAACAGACTCCAGAACAGAACCCTGCTTCCTGTAAAGACTCCCTTCCATTCTGTCAGTTCCTCTGTCTCAGTTACATTGGTTCCAATGATTCAACTTCGACAAAGGGAGCCTCTGAAATGTCCACCTTCTTCCTCAACCAAGGATTCCCCAGCACTGTTGTCGACAGGGCCCTCAACCAGATCCGACCCATCTCCCGCACTTCCACCCTCATCCCCTCTTTTCCCTCCCGCAGCAGCGATAGGGTTCCCGTTGTCCTTAGCTATCATCAAACCAGCATCCACATCCGGAAGATCATCAGCCACGATTTCCACCACCTCCAGCGAGATGCTATCACCAAACACACATTCCTCTCCCTTCCCTTGTCCACCTTCTGCAGGGACCATTCCCTCCGGGACACCCTGGACCACTCTTTGTCAGTCCCAACACCCCCCACCCCCACAGCCCCATGGCACCTTCCCCTGCAACCACCAAATGTATAACACCTGCCCATATATCTCCTCTGTCGCCAGCATCCAAGGGCCCAGACAAGCAGCACTTCAACCGCACTTCCCACTATCTAGTCTACTGCATTTGTTGCTCACCTCTGGTCTCCTCTGCGTTGGGGAAATGAAGCGTAGACTGGGTGACCACTTTGCAGGACATCTATGTTCTGCCTGCAAAAAAAGACCCTGAGCTTCCAGTTGCCTGCCACTTTAACACACCACCCCGTTCCCTGGCCACCATCTCTGTCTCAGACTTGCTGCAGTGTTCCAGCGAAGCTCAGCGAAAGCTGGAAGAACAACGCCTCATTTTCCACATGGGGACCCTGCAGACCTCTGGATTCAATATCAAGTTCAATAATTTTAGGGCCTGAACTCTTCCCATGTCCTAGGTCCTTATCCCACTCACCAGGCCTTGTTATCACATAGTCTGCCATTACACACCACCTATTGTTAGCCACTAACAGACCCCATTAATAGCTATTCACCCTCCTAGCCAGATCATTATCCACTCCTTTGTCCAACTGTTCTTGTCTCTGTTTGGGCTCTATCCCCACCTATCATTTACTCCTTACTCCCTCCACCAACACCACCTCCTCCCCCACCCCCCCACTTATCTTCTGAATCTAACTAACATTTTCCTAGCTACCATCAGTTCTGAGGAAGGGTCACCGGACCTGAAATACTGGCTCTGAGTTTTCTTCATAGATGCTGCCAGACCTGCTGAGCTTTTCCAGCAACTTCTGTTTTTGTTCCCAATTTACAGCACCCGCAGTTATTTTGGTTTTTATCCAGAATAGAGCCCTTTTGCAACCTGGGGACTGTTTACAGCCCCATTTTCCCGCGCTAGGCCCATAGCCTTGAATGTTTTGACACTTCAAATGCTCATTCGAGTACTTTTAAAAGATTGTGAGGTTTCTTGCCCCATCTACTGTCCCAGGCAGTGCATTCCAGACACCCATCCCACTTTGGGTGACAAGATTTTTCCTCAAATCTCTTATAAACCTTGTGCCTTTCACTTTAAAAGTGTGCCACCTTGTTATTGATTCTTCAACTAAAGAGAACAGCTGCTTTCTTTTCAACCTGTCCATGCCCCTCATAATTTTATACACCTCTACCCTCCCCTACCTCCAACCTTCTCTGCTCCAAAGAAAACAACTCGAACTTATCCAGCCTCTCTTCATAGCTGAGATGCTCCATCCCAGGCAATAACCTAGTGAATCTCCTTTGCACCTCCAGTGCAATCACATCCCCCCTACAGTGTGGTGACCAAAACCGTGCACAGTACTCGAGCAATAAAGTCACGTCCAGCTGTCACATAACCTCCCTCCTCTTAAAATCTATGCCACAACTGATAAAGGCAACAATCCTGTGTGCCTTCTTAACTACCCTATTAAACTGTCTTGCTGCCATCAGGGATCTGTGGACAAACTCCCCATGGTTCCTCTGAGCTTCCTAGTGTCCTGCTCCTTTATCTTGTTACTTATTCCAAAGTGCATCACCTCACATTTATCAGGGTTAAAATCCATAATTTTATAAATTCCGTTACAGGATTAAGTTTCTTGTCAGTCAGCAATCTACCTGTCTCCCCCACTCTGTGGGAAAATGAGTTCCAAAGTCACTCAAACGGCAATCTTAAATGGAAGACTCCTGATTTTTAGACTATTCTATCCAATAAGGGAGAGAGTCCTTTAACCCTGGCAAGTCTCTTCAAATCTTACATGTTTCCATTAGATGACCTCACACTTTTCTAAGCTCCAACAAATACAGGGCCAACCTGTCCCAGGTAACCACCTGCCCCTGTACCAGAAATCAGACAAGTGAATCTTCTCTGTACTGCTCCAAATGCAGATATGTCATTTTAAAATAAGGCAGCCAAAATTGTGCATACTACTCCAGATCTGGTTTTATTAATGTTCTGTACAACTGCAGAAAAAAAACCTCTATTTTTATATTCCTTTCCCCAGTACTGCTTATAAACAAAGCTTTTCACTGTACTTTGGTACCCGTGACAATAGATCAATCAATCAAATATTCCATTTGCTGTTCCATTTGATAATTTGCTGTACCTGAAACTTTGTGTGATTTTGTGTACCAGGACACTCTGTATGATCACGTTCTGTAGTCTTTCTCCATTTAAATAATATTGCCTTTCAATTCTTTCTGCACAACTTGACGTTTCCTATATTATTCATCATCTGCAAAATTTCCCATTCCTTAACCTCTCTATATCCCTTTATGTCCTCTTTACAACTTGGTTTCATACCTATCTATATGCTAGCAACAAATCTAGCTTCCACACATTTTGTACTTTCATGCAAGTCATTGATGTAGATTATAATTTGTTGAGGTGCCACCCATTATACTTTGCCATCCTTAAAATTCAGACCTCCTTTGTTTTCTGTTAGCTGACCAATCCTCTATCCATGCTGAAATATTACACCCTACACCTTGAGCTCTTAGTTTATGTAGCAACATTTGAGGTAGCACTTTGTCAAATGCCTTTGAGTGATCTAAATATACCATACTTACAGGTTCCTCTTTAACTATGTTGCATGTTGCTTCAAGGAACTCTCAACTTACCTTTACATAAAGCCATGTTGACTCTTCCTGATTGCATGCAGGTTTTCTAAGTGCTCGGCTATAACCTCTTAACAACAGATTCCAACGTTTTTCCTCTGATAGATGGTAAACTAACTGACTTGTAGTTTCCTGCTTTCATGTTTCTTCCCTTTCCTGAATTGAGGAATTCACTATTTACCAATTGGATGGGACCTGGTCATTAAATTCCTCTCTCCCTTTCACTACTGATCTACAATTGTTTCTGGGATGTTACTTGTATCCTCTACAGTGAAGACTGTCACAAAATACCTATGCATTTCATTCTTCATTTCTTAAATTTTTTCACTACTTATTTCTGAGGACCAACACTCGCCTTACTTTTTTTGACATACCTGTAGGATCTCTTACCTCTTTATCTCTTTTACTAATCAAGTTCACATTTTTTCTACCTCCTTTTTTTTGCTCTTTTTATATTCTGTCATATCTTCTGACAATCTTTGTGTGCTTTTTATTTTAATTTGATACGATTTTTAATTTCCATAGTTAGCTACAGATGTTGTGTCCTTACCCTGAAATAGTTCTTTCTCATTGGACTGTATGTTGGTGCTGGGTCCACTGTTGTTTGTCATTTATATTAACGATTTGGATGAGAATAATGGAGGCCAGTGAAGAAAGGTTATCTAAGATTACAGTGAGATCTTGATCAACTGGGCCAATGGGCTGAGAAATGGCAGATGGAATTTAATTTAGATAAATGTGAGGTGCTGCATTTTGGCAAGACAAACCAGGGCAGGACTTAAACAGTTAATGGTGGGGCCCTGTGGAGTGTTGCTGAACAGGGAGATCTCGGGGTGCTGGTACATTGTTCCTTGAAAGTGGTGTTACAAGTAGACGGGGTGGTACAGAAGGCGCTGGGCCGTTTGGCTTCATCAGTCAGAGCATTGAGTACAGGAGTTGGGATGTCATAGAATGATTGTACAACACATTGGTTAGGCCACATACATTCTAGTCTCCCTGCTATAGGAAGGATGTCATTAAACTGGAAAGGGTGATAAAAAGATTTACAAGAAAGTTACCAGGACTGGAAGGTTTGAGTTACAAAGGAAGGCCGAATAAGCTAGGACTTTTTTTCCCTGTGGCATAGGAGGATTAGGGATGATCTTATTGAGGTTTATAAAATCATGAGGGTCATAGATAAGGTGAATAACCAAGGTCTTTTCCCCAGGGTAGGGGATTCCAAAAGTAGAGGGCATAGGTTTAACGTGAGAGGGGAAAGATTTAAAAGGGACCCGAGGGCCAACATTTTCATGCAGAGGATGGTGCATATACGGAAGAAGCTGCTAGAGGAAATGGTAGGGGTGAACACAATTGTAACATTTAAAAGACACTTGGACAGGCACATGGATAGGAATGATTTAGAGGGATATGGGCCAAATGCAGGCAAATGGGACTAGTTCAGTTCAGGAAACCTAGTCAGCGTGGGCAAGTTGGGCTGAAGGGTCTGTTTCCACACTGTATGACTCTGTTTTCTGAGTGTTACAGAATATCTCTTTAAATGTTTGTTACTGATCTTAACCTAATTTCCCAATTCACTTTAACTAATTCTGTCCTTGTAACCTCATTATATCGCTTATTTAAATTGAATATACTTGTCTTAGACCCACTCTTCTCTCCCTCAAAGTGAATACAAGATTGAATCATGCTATGATTACTGCTACCTAGATATACCTTTACTATGAGGTCATTAATCAATTCTGTCTTGTTACACATTACCAGATTTAGAATTGACTATTCTTTGACTCTAGAATGGTCCTACTGTAAGAAACTGTCTCATTCACTCAATGAACTCACCTTCCAGGTCACCTTTGCCAATTTGATTTGCCTGATGAAGACTTTAGCTTAAAATCACACTTGAGTATCACTATATCTTTCTCACAAGCCTTTAATATCTGGAAGCCTCAACAGGTCAGGAAGCATCTGTGCAGAGAAACATAGTTAACATTTCAGGTTGATGACCTTTTCACCGAACCATCTGACAACCTACTCCCACAAGTGATAAGTTGCCTCTAATATGTCTTTCGTCTACCAAAACTGATTCTGCATCTTGTTCGTTGGAGAGAGATTGCCTCTGATCTATTATACTGATGGCATCCTTAATTAACTGGCCTACCCTTCTACCTTTGCCTAGTTTCCTACCCTTCTGAAATATTAGTATCCTTTAATATTCAGGTCTCAGCCTTTATTATCTTGATTGTCATCTTCCTGCCCATTCTGATTATTTATATTTGTTCTGATGCCAGCCAATGTTACAACTGGACAATTTAGATCCCAGGATGAAATCTAGCCTCCTAGAATCATATATTTCTCTTCTTGTTTAAAAGGGCGTTGCCAGGGTTGGAGAGTTTCATCTATAGGGAGAGGCTGAATAGGCTGGGGCTATTTTCCCCGGAGTGTTGGAGGCTAAGGGGTGACCTTACAGGGGATTATAAAATCATGAGGGGTATGGATAGGGCAAATAGCCAAGGTCTTTTCCCTGGGGTGGGGGAGTCCAAAACCAGAGGGCATAGGTTTAAGGTGAGAGGGGGAAGATTTAAAAGGGACCTAAGGGGCAGCTTTTCCTTTCAGAGGGTGGTATGCATATAGAATGAGCTGGCAGAGGCTGGTATAATTACAACATTTAAAAGGTATCTGGATGGGTATATGAATAGGAAAGGGTTTAGAGCGATATGAGCCAAATGCTGGCAAATGGGACTAGATTTATATAGGATATCTGGTCAGCATGGATGAATTGAACCGAAGGGTCTGTTTCTGTGCTTTATGTCTGTGAGTCTGTTTAATGTGTGGTCATTCACTCAGCTTGCATTGATCACTAGAGCCTGAAGCTGACTTGTTTTTTTTTTTAATATAAGTATTGTTTTATGGTCATCTGCAACTCCAACTATTTAAACACTCTTCCTCATTAAAATTCTCTACACATGAGTTCACAGATTATTATAGTATTAACAGTAAAATATTCAGAGCTTTCATTGGCATGCCTTTCTGGGAGTTAATAATGCAAATGATTTTCCTCTGACGTTTTTTAAGATGACAATAGACAGGTTGTGATAGAGGTGCTGTCATTCGTGAGACACCAACAATGGCAAGGTACTTTTTTGAAGATCAGGGACATGCTGCCCTGTACCAGAAGTACAGGCTTCCTTCACCCAATGAAATCCACACCCTCATCCTCAACTACCTATGGACAAAGGTGAGCAAATAGAGAAATCAGCTCTTTGTATTGAGGGGTCTGATGTAGAGTCAGGGAGCCCGAGAGGTTATCAGTGACAATGTAATGGAGTCAGATCATCTGCAGTAGTCCTTGGTGGATGTGAAAACACACAGTACAATTTGTACTACTGCTAATACAGAAATGTCCTTGAGAAGATGATAATGATAAGCGGGGTTTGAGCTATGGACCACAATGTTGTTATGTTACACAAAATACAAAGCTTCCAAATTGGAACGTATGCTACAGATGCAAGTAGATTAGTCCCAATCTGCCTCACATTGTCATATATTCATATGACCAGGATTCAGTGCAGGAGGCCCTAGAATTAGGTTTAGGGTTAGTGTGAAAGACTCCAGTGATCCGTTTGGGAGACACTTGTGTTCAGGGTGCGAATCCCCACGGCTTAGTGTGTGATTATTGCCGATGTTGGGTAAATACTACAAATATATTATTTGGCATCTAACCTGGGGAAATGGAAGTTTGGACATTGCTGTGTTGAGGCAAAGGTACTGTTGTGTTGTTTTTTTTTCTGCAACTCGAAGGTTAAATTTAGAACTGTGTGGTGTTGATTTATTAGTTACACTAGTCGTGTAACTTTTGGAGAAGCTGGATTTGATACTTTTGTAAGACTAGCTGGCACCAGGGGCTGTCGGGATGAAGGCAATCTACCCAGGAACATCTTTTTGATTTGGTTTAAGTTGCAGTTTATTGCAGATCTGAGAGAAAGTTGCAGTCAGACCTTCAGGAAGACTGAAAATGAAGCCGTGTTTCTCTCTCTCTCCCTCCTTCTGTGAGTGGAAAGGAAATAGCACATAATGACCAAATGAAGACCATATAACTCAACTGAAAATCCAGGTCCAATCAATTGGTACTGAATTGAGGATTGCTGCTATCAACCATAATAGAAATGTTATTACCAAAATCAAAAGAACTGCGAGAAAGGTACTTCAACCCACCTTGTGGTTTGTATTCAAGATCCTTAGAATATGTTCCTTTTTGCCTCTGTTTGCTACTTATGATGTTTCTACAGAACTGTCCCTCTTGTCTGTCCTATTTGTAAATGAATGTGCATGCATGATGGGATTTGAAGGGGTGTGTTATAATTTTTACATACTAGCAATTAATAATCCATTTTCCTGTTGATAAAGAATATGTTTTTTTAATAAACAATTTCTGTTCTCTTGTTTATTTATTTATGAAATCTGGTGTGAACTTCTTTCATCTTAGATATTGGTCGAATTCAGGCAAATGATACAACTTAGTGATGGCTCATGGAAAAGTAGGGCTTCATTTCCAGTGCACTTTGTGGCAGCTGTCTTTGGGCTCAAAAAAGTCCCTTTAAAACGTGATAGTAGATCAGAGTGCCAGCAGCAGGCCTTACAGTGGAGGAGGTTGTGGATTTCACCAAGTGTAGGAAGTCTATAATTTTGATACAGGGCAGCATATCGCCATGTCAATATCACACCAAGTAACAGGTCGCAGATCTCTCAGATCCTGTTCATTTATAAGCTTAAACACCTCATAGACACACCATTTGATTCATCAACCGAAAAACTTCCAGAACGGTGAGCCAATGTAAGCCCTACATTCCCCTGAGAATGTTTCAGCCAATTATTGCTATCTGTGAACAAATGTGTGGAGAATTTTAGCATGAAAGAAAGAATGGATAGTCTAGAGGGTGGTGGGGTCTGGACCTTTAACCTCTTGCTTTGCAAAGTGTGGAGTTTTTGCAAGAACTGTTCAGCCCCCGCTGAAGCTGCTTAACCGTCAGTGTTTCACACTCCATCGGAGTCACAGTCAGCCTGGTGTAAATTTGAAATGTTTGCAGTTTTAGCCCTCTGCCCTACCTTACCCCAAATTTGCCCTGTCCCCACCTTGAGCAGGCTAGTAAATTTGTGCCTTTGGGTTCAAGCCCCAGTATAGCAGCTGTGGGAATTTAATTTAAATTATTCAAACATTCTACAGCAAAAAAATACTGTCAGTGGCGATAAGCACGAGACTATTGGATTGTAATAAAAACTCATCTGGTTCACTAATGTCTTTCAAGAAGAGAAATCTGCCAACTTCTCCTGGGCTGGCCTACATACCAGAACCAGCAATCTGGTTGGCTTTTAACGGCCAGCCAAAATAGCCCAGGAAGCCACTTGGTTGTGTCAAAACATCCCCTTACGGAATGGGAGTGAACCTGATGGTGAAAAAGGAAACATGGACACTGGAGAAGATTACTGTTTTCTAATGACATTTAGACCAATTGTGTCATTACACAGTTAGTTCATGTTAAAATTCAGTGCAGAGGAACTGTTTTACTTTCTACCCTTACCAGCATCCAGTAGCTGTATAAATAACATGTTGTGTAGTGATTATCAAGTGGTGAGTACTTTTCTCGTTTATCTTTCAAAGCTGCAGTAGTTTATTAATGAGAGTAAGATATTATTAGGTAAGATTTACTAGTGGTACAGTTTAATAGATTGACTGATGAGTATTTCCTGGGGAAACTAGATAACTGCAATGGAGAAATGTAACATTTATTAAAATATTAAGACCAGCGCAGACAACTCAATAGACAGGAATTCAAATTTAACCTATAAAAGAATTAATTAATGAAATGCTATTAAGATGGCAGAGGAGTTGATGTGTGGTGGCTAGAGGGTGAGGGAGCTAATGGACACCTACATGCTCCAAGGTAGCATATCTGCAGTCAGTGGCTGTGACTGGAGAAGCTTTGGCTCAGTCATTGAGCTGGAAGCTGAACCACAGACACTGACACATAATGGACAGCACTTTGTTGGTGGAGGCAGTCATGCCTCTTAAGGTAGGGTCTCCTGATTTGGTCCATGGCCAGGAAGGTTGTGACAGCAACTCATGCCAATAAGGGGATTAAGAAAATAGGGTTGAGGAGCCAGAACCCTTGAAATTGAGAAACAAGAGCAAAGCTGTTACATCTTGTATGGTCAAGCATGAGGGCTGCAGAAGCTATTCAAGTCAGGGGCATTGAAAGGACCTTAGCAGCAGTAGGGGACACTATGGTCAGAGGGATAGACATTGCTATGTGCAGCCGAGAGTGGAATTCCAGAAGATTGTGTTCCTGTCTGATGCCAGGGTGGAACGTCACCTTAGGGCTGGAGAGAAAATTACAGTGAGAGGGGGAGAAATCATTAGTTCTGCTCCATGTAGATACTGATAACAAAGAGGCAGCAAACATTGGTCAGCATTGTTTATAGGCCACAAAACAAGAATGATAATGTAGGGCATATAATGTTCAAGAAATGAGAGATACAAAGAAAGAAGGGTAATGCAGAAATCATGGGGCTGGATGTTAGATCACACAAAAATTGTTTATATGAAAGGCAGAAACTTATAAATTTCCCTGAAAAAGTAGTATGCCTGAAGACTGGAATCCATTTAAAATTCAGTAAAGGAGGACCATGAAATTTGTCTTTTTTTGAAAATAGAAAATGAAAATAAAGCAAAGAGAAACACTAACATGGACTGTCAAAGATATCTCAAAAGGTAAAGATTAGCAATGACAAATGTGGGGTCATTACAGACAAGAAAACCTTTAATGTGAAATAAAAATATACTAATAATTTGTGTTTGTCTTCACAGAAGAAAATCCAAGGAATACTAGAGAATCAAGGAGCTAGTGATAGTGAGGGAAAGAAATTAGTATTGGTAAAATGTAATACTGGGGAAATTGACGGGACTGAAAATTGATCGTTGCCAGGGACCCAATGACTTGCATGCCAGTGTGCTAAGAGACATGTCTGTAGGGAGATTGGCTGCATTAGTGATCATCTTCCAAAATTCTACAGATTCATGAAAGGTTCCTACAAATAACTTTTCATAAGGTCATAAACAGGAGGTTAGTAAAGAATACTGGAGCATATGTAATTGGGGGTCATATATTGGTGTGAATTAAATATAAGTTAGTGGACAGAAAACTGAGTTGAGCATATGTGCCTGCAGTTGTGATTAGTGTATTTGGTCATTCCCTTCCACTGCGTATGATTGAGGTGATAACTGCTCTGCACAGGTTCCCCCAGTTGCCATTTGTTCTGACTGTTGTGAGAGTGTTGAACGTTTGTACCCTGACTGGCTGTCCAATGTTCAACTCTAACAATCGTTGTGCAGAGTTGTCAAAATGAAATTTGGCTTTCTCCCATTTCACGTGATTTTGCCACTCAAACGTTACTATTTCTGGCTTCCATAGTTTTTGTTTTGCTATTGGAAGGGGAGCTTGTTTGTGACATGATATTAGTCATTGTATTGGACTACTATCCATGCCTTCAGTGGGGTGTGCTTCTCCATTCAAGAGCTGCTTTGCATACATCTGTGCTGGATTTGCTCCATTTCTTTGATTTCTTTGGTGACTTTCACTGCTGCCTTAGGCTTCCCATTTGACTGGGGATAGGGTAAAGATGACGCATGGTGTTAAATTTCCCAATGATTTATGAAGCAGCTGAATTCTTCACTCACAATCCGAGGGCTAATGTCACTCATCACAATGTCGGGAACTGATGTAACAGCTGAAGTGTGTTTTTAGGCATTCAACAATCTCAGCAGCCATCACTGAAGTCAACTGGTCCAACTCCCAGTGGAATAGTGATCTATGGTGACAAGGTGATCAATTCCTGCAGGTAGTGAAGAGGTCTAATCTCAGCTTCATCCATGATCTCTGGGATGTAATGTCATCAGTGGATCTCTAACTTGCTTAGCTTGGAACTCATTACAAGCAATGCACGGCTGATAGGGCCCTTCATTATTTTTTTAAACTCCTATTTGTCCAAGAAAGCACATCTCTTGTCTTCCTCAGATTTGATTCCATTCCTTGGTGACTTGCACAGATGTGCTTTTGCATCTCTCCTCTCAACTCCTTAGAAGGACTGGACAATTGCAAAGATTATACCCTTGTTCAGAAAAGGATGCAAAGATACATCCAGCAATTATGGACGAGTCTGTTTAACTTTGGAGGAGAGATT